AGTCTGTTTCCCTTCTCCCATGTGCTTAGAAGTTCAAAGACGAGGATTTTCTTTTGGGAGGCTAAAATGTCCCCCACCAACTTGAAATCTTGGCACCAATTTGATGCAGCCCGCTAATGACAACTGTTTTACGTTTGCTCATATAAATGTCAACTCTGTCTTCTGTCCTTTTTAGATACAGATTTTCTTTATGTTTTAAAGGAATAGCAGTGATTTATTAAGGGCGACAATTATGCTACCTGGTTATTCTGGGAAGGGTAGCCTGCATGCTGTTACTTTGTGGTAGTTCAGGATATAGGGTCTAAAAACCTACTTTCCATAGTGTATAGTTTTTTCCAGAATAAAGTGTCTAGCTTTTGCGAAAATATGTTTAAAGTTACATCCATACTACTTGCAGTTTAACAAAATACAAAGAATAGCTAGAGAACTGATTTAAGCAGTTCTGCTAAGGATGTTCCTGCTGCCACTATTTGCTTCTTCTCAGAGAAACTAGCCTTCATAAGCTATTCTTCATCTAACCATAGCAAGTTCTCTAACAAATGTATGAAAATGTTTTAGGCACATCTGGTCAAAGTGTATTTTTCACTGACTACCTAAGCAAAAAAAAAAAAAAAAACCTGCACAACTTGAATGTGGTTGAAAGTTAAGTCTCTGCCTGTAAAGTTGAATGTACATTTATATGCAGTTAATTACAGTTTTGAATTAAACACTATTATGGCATAATTTTGGGTGCCCTTCACTTTCTTTGGAACACTTTCTTTGGAATCAGTTAACAGCTTACAGATATGTCCTATAGTCCGCTAAGCTAACTTCTTGCTTTTGGAGGTTTTTTTTTGTACTCTTATCTTGCACAATTCTTCTTGCTCAGAATTGTTCTCAAGTTTCTTTGCATATACTATGTTTTTGAGATCCATTATGGAGATTTTCCATTCTGCTCAATTCTGGGTCATGTAAATGCCATTCCAAAACCTTTACCTTTCTCCTCTCTTAATTAAAGAATTTCATGCATTAGCTTCTTGGATATGTTTATATTTAGCTGAATGCATTAAGTCTTGTACATAATGTTTCCTATGCCACTGGCTAATACACAATCTCAAAGCATAATAGAATGCTTAATGCTTAGGTGCAAGGAGAAGTAAAAAAAATTCTGAAAGCAAGCACATAGGATTCATGAAACATATACAGGCAGTCCTTGACTTGTGACCACAATTGAGCCCAAAATTTATGCTGTTAAGCGAGACATTTGTTAAGTGAATTTTGCCCCATTTTAGGACTTTCTTGCCACAGTTAAGTGAATCACTGCAGTTAATTGAATAACACAGTTGTTAAGTGAATCTGGCTTCCCCATTGACTCTGCTTGACAGAAGGTTGCAAAAGCTGATCACATGACCCAGGACACTGCAACCATCATAAATATAAACCAGTTACCAAGCATCTGAATTTTGGTCATGTGATCATGGGGATGTTGTGACTGTCATAAATGTGAAAAATGGTCATAAGTCACTTTTTTCAGTGCTGTTGTAACTTTAAATGGTCACTAAATGACTGGTTGTAAGTCGAGGATTACCTGTACTTTGATCAGGGTCCCTAAGTCTGTAAACAACTGAAGCTGTTATAGCTAACTGTTTCTAGATCTATCCTCTGTGAATATATCTTACTCCTTCTAAGAATTCAAAAAACCAGAAATGTTGAATATCTTGTTTTGAATATATTATATCAAACATTATACATATTTGAAATTGGATAGAATTTCAGTGTCACTTTCGGCATCTTTGTCTTGATTTTTTATACATTTATTTACAGCATTTTTGCTGCTGATTCATATATTTGTGGAATGTATGTACTTCAGTTTCAAGAATTTTAGGCACAATGTAACATGGCCAATGAAATAGCAAAGTAATACAATAAACCCCAAAGATAACTGTATATAGTAATTATATAATAATAATGCTCGCATTTGTTGCCAGTAAATATAAAATAGCAAATTCCAAATACCTTTCCTAAATTTATACAGACTCCCACAATGCTGTGTGTGTGTGTGTGTGTGTGTGTGTGTGTGTGTGTGTGTGTGTGTGACTAAAGCTTTTGGGGGCAAACCATTTCAGGGAAGGGGGGCTGCCACACAATATGCCTATTTTTAGGCCCCCTTCTTTCTTCTTAGCAAGCGTTCTCTGATGGAGAATCTTGGTACTGTATAGTCACTTTTCTCTTTCAGACTAATATAGAGGAGGGAGATAAAAACTACATGGGATACCAGGATGCATCAATCCTTGGATGCATCCACTTTAGTAATTTATATTTTGCAGAGCTCAGCTATAGTTGTCTATTCTGGCACAGCATGTTAGTTATCTGTGGGTTAAATTGACCTCGCTTAGTTGATATTTTGATTTAGGCATTTCCTCCATTGTCTTTGTAAAAAGAAACCAAGATTTTTTTTACATTATTTATTTTGGAATCTTATTGCATGGACCTTTGCCTATTTCCCCATTTTGGTCAATATTTGATTGTGTCCCTGGCTTACTAGATATTCCCAGTACATCATAGCTTTCTTATCACACGAAATTCCATTTAGCATTTTCTCATTTTCAGCCACCAATCTGGAAAGAAGACCTTTCATTTGGTTGGGTGTCCAAATTGTAGTTTCTTTGCTTTTTCAGCTTCATTACTTTGCCTGCACTGTAAATTACAATAGCTGTCAGGCTCTCAAAAGAGGATTTTACAAGAAAAAGAAAAAAGATCTGGAATTCATTTCCAAGTGCTTGACACAAAGTTGGAGCATTTGGCACTACAGATGTTTGATTCAACTAGCATGGGCAGTGGTCTTTAATGCTCTGGCTTGTAGTTCTATAAATATTTAAAGGCCATATTCTCTTCAGCCTTGGCTTACAAAAGTGGCCATGATACCTTGCCATTCTCACTTTCAGGTTTGGATTCAGTTAAACATACAATTGCCATCATGTTTTGTTCATTTTATCGAGAGGCTTTACAAATGTCAATTATACTTTACAACCATTCCCAGCACATTACATGTAATGAAACATCCTCCCATCTATTACCTGGCAGAGATCATAGTTGGAAACTCAACTACAGATAATTCTCATAGTGACATATAATGGATAATTCATAGAAACAAGCTTACTTAGTGGTGTTGCCTAACCTTGGAATGCCTTTCCCTAGTGAGATAGTCTAGACCTTATTTAGACCTTATAAGATGATCAAAGGCCTGGAGACTAAAACGTACAAAGAACGGTTGCAGGACTTGGGTTTGGCTAGTCTAAAGAAAAGAAGAAATAGGGGAGACATGATAGCAATGTTCCAGTAATTGAGGGGCTGCCACAAAGAAGAGGGGGTCACATTATTCACCAAAGCACCAGAGGGCAGGACAAGAAACAATGGTTGGAAACTGATCAAAGAGAGAAGCAACCTGGAATTAAGGAGAAACTTCCTAACAGTGAAGACAATTAACCAGAGGAATAGCTTGCCCCCAGAAATCCTGGGTGCTCCATCACTGGAGATTTTTTAAAAGAGGCTAGACAGTCACTTGTCTGAGATGGTATAGGTCAGTGGTGGCAAACCTATGGCATGGGTGCCAGAGGCAGCACTTGGAGCCCTCTCTGTGGGCACACGTGCCATTGCTCTAGCCTTGCCTCCCCACACAACCCCCTCCTCTCCAGCAGCCCCCCTGAAGGAGAATTGCTCCTAAGTGGCCCACACGGAGCAGCACAGCCAAGGACATGGCAGCCAGGCAGCATACACAAGACTCTGCCCTCACATCCCATCGTGCATAGTTGATGCTGCAGGGCGCGGGCAGAGGGCGTGTCTGCAATGGTGCTGCTGGGCTGCCTGGGCGATCTGCGTCAGGCCCTGGAGGCGGTGAGTGGTCCTGCGGGCAGGCAGGGTGGGGGATGGGGGGTAGAATGGGGGCGGGGCAGGGTGGAGCGGGGGCGGGGCCAGTTTTTGGGCACTCGGTCTCTAAAAGGTTCGCCATCACTAGTATAGGTTCTCCCGCTTGAGCAGCGGGCTGGACTAGAAGACCTCCAAGGTCCCTTACAGCTCTATTCTATTCTAGTCTTATTATCTTTTCAGCATCAGGGAAAGACATTTTTATTTTTCTCTTCTTCATCTAACTCTAATGCTGTAATATTCATGCAACAATGGAGCTTTTAAATTGAAATTTGTTTTATTTCTGCTGCTTACCACTTTAATTTTATGCATTTTATATATATCGAGAGCCAATGTCATGTAATAGTTAAGGTGCTGGACTAGGAGTGGGTCCACCTTCAGCCATGGAAGCCAGCTGGATGATTTTGAGACAATCAGCTCTACACTGGGAAATAAAAAAACCATCTACCTACTAACTTGCCCTGGATCAATATGGTAGATTACTCTCCAAAAACCATTAATGAAGCATTTAGAGTTAGGGTCAGGGTTTTTAGAACATTATAAGTCTATGAAAACTATATTATGAAGTACAGTGTGTACATTTTTCAAATAAATAATGCAGAATGCTAGAAAACTACTGCAGAATAAAAAACAAAAAACCAAGAAAGGGGAATGGATTTGAGACTCTTGAAAGAGAATATGACTGGCTAACAGAAATCTTGCATAATGTATTGTTGTTAAAAGCTCCGTTTTTCCTCTTTTGCTCCACTGTACCACGAATTAAGGGATTAAGAGAGTTTTTGTTTGAACACAGTATATCAGAAGTAAATGTGGGGGTGAAGCAGGACTGGGGATCAATTACGTATTTTCATGGAATTTGTCACAAGCAGATTTATGAGCATTAGCATTTTGGTTGTCATTGCTGTTCCTGATTCCTTCTAATCCATGTGCTAAAATCAACTGATGAAGACTAACCAGTGGCTCTTCATTACTCTTAGGGTGCAGGGGCCAGGATTGTCTCTTGGGAAAGGTTGTCTCTTTCAGCAATCACTGAAGACGTATCTGTTCAGCCAGCAGTTCTCTAGGGGTAGATTGCTCCAATTATACTTCTGAGTGAATTTGTTTTCAGTGAATTTTATTTTAATCTCTGTATTTTTGTTATCTTTTTAGAATTGTTGGTTTTAGTTTGCATGGGTTTATTTTAAATGGTTTTTACTTTCTTATAAACAGCTCTGAGTTCTTCAGGAAGAAAAGCTGTAAAGAAATAAGAGAAATAATAAGAAATAATATACAGGTAATCCTCGGCTTACAACCTACAATTGAACTCAAAATTTCTGTTGCTGACTGAGACACTTAAGTCAGTTTTGCCCCATTTAATGACTTTTTTGCCCCAATTGTTGTGAATCACTGCAGTTGGTAGAGTTAATAACACGGTTATTAAGTAAATCTGGCTTCCCCATTGACTTTGCTTGTCAAAAGGTGAGGTGATGACAAGATCCTGGGACACTTCAACTGTCGTGAATATGAACTAATTGCCAAGCATCCAAATTTTGATCACACATTCATGGGGATGCTGCTGTGGTGGTGTGAATAATGGTCATAAATAACTTTTTTCAGTGCCGTTGTAACTTCAAATAATCACTAAATGAATGGTTACAAGCTGAGGACTATCTTCATCACACAGTCCTTGACATGCTGGGAAACAGCAGGGATATCTGAGGGAATCAGAATGTGCATAGAAGCAATTTGAACCATGCTAAAGCAGAAACCTGTTTCCAACTTTCCCTCTTAGAGAATACAGGTGGGCCTCAGATTACAACCATTTATTCAGTGACTGTTCAAAGTTACAACAGCACTGAATGAAGGGGACTTATGATCAGTCCATAAAGTTGTGGCTGTTACAACATCCCCATGGTCATGTGATTACAACCATCCCCATGGTCATGTGTTTTAGCACGTGGCATCCATCTCACAATTTCAACATTTGCACCATCCTGTAGTGTTATCATTGCCATTTGCCACCTTCCATTCTGTCTTCCCGCAAGCAAAGTCAGATGGTTCTTGCTGCTTTTTTGCCTGCCTGCCCATGCTTCATAGTGCCCGCCCACAGCGTCTGCCTGCCCTCCCCACTCCATAGCACCTATAGTACCTACCCATCTGCCCAACCATGCCCATGCCTGTTTGTCTGGCATGGTTGGGTACATGGGTAGGTGCTATAGGCACTATGGAATGGGGGGGGGGTAGGCAGATGCTGTGGGCAGGCACTCTGGAGTGCAGGCAGGCAGGCAGGCAGGCAAAAAAGCACCAAGCAACCACTCATAGCACCCAACTCACTGCCTGCTGGGCTGCTTGCCTGGGAATCCCACCTCTTTCCACATTATTATGTGAGGTCCTTGTTTAATGACCCACATGTACCTGGGGTTTTGACAGCAATTGGGATTGCCATTGCTAAGCAATCCAGTCACATGACATTGTAACTTGAAGACTTCCTGCAAGGATGGAGACTGAAACTAAGTGGATGGAGTGTATTTGCACGTGGGCATGCTTCTTCCTCATGATTATTGTTGTTATGACCATCTATTTGAAGTAACCTTTAGCCTCTTGGAATCTGTGTTATCTAAGATGTACCTCTTTGATGAGTATTTTGGAATGAAGGTTTGAAACATTTAAGCTGTTAACCAGAAATTCAGCCTGGTGATCTGGAGTTATTTCATCTCTCTCTCTCTCCCTGTCTGTAAGTCTATCTGTCTGTCTCGTTTATTCAGCTGTTGTATGAATACAGTGGAAATTAGGGGGGAGGGGAATTCCATATGCTTCCTGAAGTCCTTGGAGAAGCAGTCAAATCAAAATATCTTTAGTAAAATTATTCAGTAATGTGGGATTGGCTTAAAGCCTCTACACAGTAGCTCCTGGGGCTTTCTTAGATGAGATCTGGATCTTTTGACTATGCTAGTCAGAATTAAAAATAGAATTATTTTTAATTGTCTGGAATGAACGTATGTACAGAAATTAATCTATTAGATGGAAGAAAACACACTGACCACTATTCTAAATCCTGTATTGCTTGCTTTTTCCCTCTTGTTTTATCTCTGCGTCCCAGTATGGGTAAAGAAGATTCTGCCAGGTGAGAAAACCGGCTTTGGAAATTCGGATGTTAAAATGGTCTCATTTTATTGACCTTGTATTATTCTAAGTTGCATCCCAGGCTTTCTCTCCAAGTTTCCATATTAGAGGTAATCAACCTGCAGTCCTTGGCCTAACTTTGTCAGCCTTGTGGTGGTGGTGGTGGGGAGTTAAGATTTATAGCAAAAGAAATTTGTCCCTTTTCCAGCAAACTGCAGGGCTGAAAGAAAAAGTATTGGTAAAACAAAATTGGTGAATGGATGGGGATGAGAAAGAGACAGAGAAAAGATGGAAAAAAAGAATAAAAATGGTTATTTATTCCTTTCTAAATATGAGATGACCGCTTTTATGCCCCAGGGCCACATATAGACTTAGAAAGCCTTGCGTGTGGCCCCCTGTACAAGCATACTTCATTTTATTGCATTATGCTTTATTGCGCTTTGCAGATACTGTGTTGTTGTTTTTTACGAGACCCTCCACCAACAAAATGATTATGGCTTGCTGAAGGCTCAGATGATGATTAGCACTTTTTAGTAATAAAGTCTTTTTTTAATTAAGGTATCTACATTGTTCTGTTTAAAAAGACATAATGCTATTGCACACTTAACAGACTACAGTTTATTGTAAACATAATTTTTATATGCCCTTGGAAACCAAAAAAATGTGTGTGACTCACTTTATTGGAATATTTGCTTTATTGCAGTGGTCTGGAACTGAACCCGCAATATCCCCAAGGTATGCTTGTACTTCTTCAAAAGTCACCCTCCCCAACTGTAATGCTTAATGGAAGAGGAAAATAATTCAGACAGGGAATACCATTAACCACATTTATTGAACATTTACAATTAACAACAATTAACTCAAATTTAAAATTGCTCCTTGCTTACCCACTCCTTTGTCTCAGGTCTGTCTGCTTTCAAAATGGCATGAAATTGTCTGCTTTCAAAATGGCACAACTCTGGCATGCCAGTCTGTGGTCGGGTGTAGCCCTCAGCTTGAAAAAAGCTGCCCTGTTTATTACTAGCCAACGCAAAGACGATGTGCACCCAAGATCTGATGGAAAACATTATTTATGTCTGGCAGTAAATGCAGGTCTTTCTAGGATCTACCGTAGGTTCAGGTGCAGGGGGCCCCAGGCAATCCAAGTTGTAACTGAGGCAAGCCAAAATCCAAAAATGGCTTCTTCTTGAGAGTAAAACCAAGAAAACTATGATTTGCTGCCTTTTTAGTCTGCTGCCTTAGTCTGTCCAATGGCAGAGCTTGTTCTAACAGGAAATTCCCCATGGAGGCCCACTGGCCCTTTGACGTGGCAATCCGATGGTCCTCTCCCTCGACAATGCTGAACCTTACCAGTTGTGGTTGCAATAGCTCGGCCAATTTCGGCTGGTTTCCTCTCAACTCAGGTAAATAGCAAGGAGATGGTCCCGGTCTCTGTCTATGCTTGCCTGCCATATCCTTCTCTGGAAATAAGCTTATAATAATTCAGTTCCACAACAATATGCTTGCCTGTACTTTGAAAGTGTTTAATGATGGTGCTGGGTATTATCTTGTGTGCCTCCAAAGGGACATGTCCATTGAGATTGACCTGCAGGGAACACAGTGTGCTGTTCAAAAAGGGACATTTCTTTTCCTGGTTGTGCCAAGCAAGAATTTTGGGTAGAAAGTTCTCTTGCTCTTTTCCTCCTTCCTTTCTTCAGTTCCCCTTTGCTCTCAGGTAGTCTGCTAGTTTCTCCATCGCTTCGACACAGACGCTGGGGTACATGCCTTGGCAATAGGTTCCGACCAGGACGAAGGTTCCTGTTTTAACTAGTATCACTCCCTCTTCTTTTGCTTTAAGATAGATGGAGTTGCCATCTGCTCGGAAGCATTTATAAAAACGGTCTTTAAAGTACTGCCCTTCCTTTCGGATTTGGGCCGGGTTGTTGTAGAAGGCTTGGACAAAGACTGAGGCCCAGCTCTGAATATTAAAGCCTGGAGTTGCTGTCATCACAGCCATGTCGGATATTCTGATAAGGGCAGCATTGGCTACATGCTTTGTCTTGACGAGACCGTCAAGCAGCAGAGTTTGTGCCTGGTTCATCTCCCTCTGCGTTTGGTAACTAAAGCTTCTTGTAACTAAGGCTTCAGCTTCTCCTTTGAGAATGTAAACAGTTTAGTTGCCCTGGTTTCTTCCAAGGAATTCTGGGAATTGTAGTTTATGAAGAATGCTGAGCTCACATGCTCAGCCATAGGCTAGCCGCTAGGTAGAGGAGTAGAGTTACCTCCAACCTACATAAAATTACAAAGTTCATTTTGTTTTTAAATCTCTTTCCTTTTTAAACATAGAGATACAGAGCAAAGTGTGCAAGGAGAATTTTTTCCAACAGATTTGAAAGGTGAGCGGAAATCACTCTGTGTTCTAACCCTTGTGTCTTAACCTTGTACTGACTGCACTGATGCTTGAATAGCACTCCTACTCCCCTTCTGCCCCCAAATTAAATATCAACTGTACCTCAAAAAAAATGACATTGAAGATGTCAGACAAAAATTAGAGCAAAGGAATCTATTACTTCCCTTATTGGAATTTTAGCAAATGTAAAATGACTCCCCAATTATAATTTTTTTTTTTGGCGGGGGGCATAGTTTTTCTTTCAAGTAGATATGATGTCAGTAATAAGGACATAAGAATGATCTCTTTATTAATCTTGGATCTTTTATGCAGAATACATTTGATTAAAGACAAAAATGAAATACAGTAAAATTGTTCCAATTTTCTTTAACACTTCCTTTATTGATCCTTAGAAATGCCATTCATCAAATAGATGTTTCACAGTGTTTGTTCTTAAATAAGGTTCTTAAATTTCTAAGAAATCTTTCTGAAACGGCAAATAGACCATTTGAGAAGTTCTTATTAAACAACATCAGACTGGTTGCCACGTAGGTTCTGAAACCATTAGGTAGAAGGTTCCCAGATGAGTCTATCTCTGCTTGTGCAGCTTTCAGAAACAGAGTTTTACTTTTATATTTGAGAAAGACCTGGTTTCTTGCACTCACTATATTGTTTTGGCCAAAAATACGCAATTGCTGCCTCTTTGGGAGGATAGTAGCTTTCTGCCTGGGAATACAAATGGTTCAATAAGGAAAAGGGAGAAAATAAAAATCAGAAATGAAAAATGTAAAATAAAAAAATTAAATGGTAATATCTTATAAAATGATAACATCTCAGAATGTTGATCAAAGTGACTGTTTCATGTTGAATTTATTTAATGAATTAATGGCAGTAGAATTAAAGAAAACAAAACTGTAGTATTTTTTTTTAAAAAAGACTTTCATATAGTGTATGAGGGAAAATTTCTAGTTTAACATTTTCCTTGGCACAGAGTTTTTCTGTCTAGAACAGTGGTTCTCAACCTTTTTAATGCCGCGACCCCCAACCGGTCGTAAGTCAAGGACTACTCAACCAGTCGTAAGTCGAGGACTACTCAGCTGGTGCAGCACCATTTGCAGAATGGGACTTTTGGCGGGCTCAGCAGGGCAGAGACAGCCTGGACAATTCCTATTGGCTTTTGAAAGCCAATAGAATTAGACTCTATTCAAGAGAGTCTATTCTCTTGGCTTTCAAAAGCCAATAGAATAAAAGGGAGTAGCACAGCTAAGGAAAAGGGGAAAAAAATGGCAGACTGCGTTGTTTGGCGACCCCCGTGAAATGGTCGTTCGACCCCAAATGGGGTCCCAACCCACAGGTTGAGAACCACTGGTTGAGAATAAAACATACAGTTCATTCAGAGGAAGTAATTGTTTTACTTGATTCTGCTTTGATTAGGCTCCTTCACAAGTACTGTGCTCCTTTTTGGGTATCATGCTTTAACAATAATTTAAAAAAATAGAAGATTCAGATGAGGGCAGAAAGGATTATCAGGAGACTTGAGTCCAGAGGTGCCTGCAGGGAATAAAAGAAGCAAGATGCAGACGCTGTCACATACATGCTATGATGTGCTGGTATTTATTTATTAAATATATATGCTGCCCATCTTGCTATCCAAAGTGACTTTATGTAAATCCATAACCACCAGCTCTGCTAGTTCCACGGCTGCCACCATGCCATGCTGCTGGTTGCCATAGAGCTGATTGGCACAATAGCCATGGCAGCTCAGTTCTGCTCTCATCTAGCTTGCAGAATTCCTGAATACTTAACAATCAGTTCTCATAAGTACAACCTGCTCCAGACACTATTGTATCGTCATTGTCATCATCATCTTATCCTATTTTTCTTTTAATATTTGGTCAACTCAAGGCAACAAACATAATACAATACAAATACTTTGACTTGCTTTAGCTTTTTGCCATTGATGCATAACTTGGATTTGTTTGCTCTTTTCCCCCCTCAAATAAAGCCACCTTCATCTTCAGTATATTCATTTTCAGATCTGTGGTCCTTCCTGTGACATATTTTATGACTGACATTTGCTGTAAATCATTTGAGCTGTCAGCCAAAATGATGACTTCATCTGTGTACAAAAATGCACACCCATTCTTCTCACCAACAACTGCACCTCTAACTTCATAGCAACCATACCTTATATGTTTGTCCATAAACACATTAAGCATCCAAGGGAAGTTTATACAACCTTGTCTTACTCCCTGCTCAAAGTCAAATGCTCCAAAAGATCATATTTTATAAATAAGTTCAGGATCTTGTCCTTGTGGTGTTAGTCTGCCTGCACCCATACACATAGGTATTCTACATTAGCTGCAACTGGCTCTCTTTCCTGACTTTAATGTAAACCATTCACAAGCAACTGCTTATGAATTGGAGATTATCTGTGGTATTTGTCGTCCTTCCCTTACTGCAAGGAATACTGATTCAATGGGGATTCTCACATTTGTGGCCTGCCTCCTTGACAGAGAACAACAGTCTTTAAAAGCCATTCCCTAGGCCTAGAACAGCTGTTATGTGGTTTGTTTTTTTTAAAAAAAATTCTCTTCTTCTCCACTCCTTAACCCACTAATCACCCCTTTTGCTGACCTGAATGAAGGCAATTATACATCCTGGTTATTGTAAATAGACCACAAAACACCAGGCATATCTTAAAATGATGTCATGTCTAGACATACCATTCAGGTATAAATTATTGAAAAAGTAGCTTGTTTAGCGGTTAAGACTATAAAAAATTAACAAGATAGTTTTGCATCTGTCTTGTAAGCAGACTTTCATATGCAGGTTTGTACTTGAAAGAATTTTCAGTGACCTCCTGATTTGGGAGGAAGAGTTGGTTTTGGGAACTGGAATTCTCCTGTCTCCTCTCTCTGCAGCTGTTTCATTTCATAATTAGTGCAGTGTTTCTCAAATGGAGATGAGGGAGTATGAGAAACTCATATAGGTAGTCCTTAACTTAAGCCATTCAGTTAGTGACTGTTCAGAGTTACAGGGGCAAAGAAAATGTGACTTACAGCCAGTCCTTGCACTTATGATGACAGCATCCCCAGGTTACATGATCAAAATTGGGCTGCTTGACATCTGGCATATATTTACAATGGTTGCAGCATCCTGGGGTCATAATTTATCATAATTTATGACCTCAGCTGGCTTATGGCAAGCTAAGTCAATGGAAAAGCTGGATTTGCTTGAAGATCGTATTATCCACTTAACAACTGCAATTATTCCCTTAACAACCATGACAAAAAAGGGTTGTAAAATTGGGTATGACTTACTTAACAACTGCTTAGCTTAACAACATAAATTCTAGCCTTAGTTGTGGTTGTAAGTTGAGGACTACTTATATGCCTTCCCAGAGTTTTAATTGATGTTGATTAAAAAAAGCATGAAAAACCAAAACATTGATTTTCCAAATGGGAATCAGTGGCAAGGGAGGATAGGAATATGATTCCCAGCTACTGATTTATTATCCTCTGGTAGGGGAAAGAAATAGGGGACATGCATTCTCCAACTCAAACTGCAGAAGACTCTTGTCCTACTGGAAAATTTTTTAAGAGTAAGCTATGAGTCAGTCTGGATTCTTGGCCATTGCCTGGATTACAGGAGTCTCTGCAATTTTCTTGGCAACATTATCAGAAGTGGCTTCCCAGAATAACAGAGTTGGAAGGGACCTTGGAGGTCTTCAAGTCCAACCCCTTGCTCAAGCAGGAAAACCTATACCATTTCAGACAAATGGTTGTGCAATTTCTTTTTTAAAAACCTCCAGTGTTGGAGCACCCACAGCTTCTGGAAGGAAGCCATTCCACTGATTAATTATTAGCTATAATAATAGAATCTTGCAAGTTTGATTGGGTTGTATTTCCTCACCCTTCATATATTCCATTGAATTAGAGAGGTGTCTGCCTGTTTCACTTCTGGACTTTCAAAATGCTTCAGCAGCTTTTATTTAGGTTAAGGTTCTTGTATATTTCTATATGGAGAGTTAGTTTGGTGTAGTGATTAAGGCACCAGAGTAGAAATCAGGAGACTGTGAGTTCTATTCCTGCCTTTGGAACAAAGCCAGCTAGGTGACCTTGACCTAGTCACTTTGTCTCAGCCCTAAGAAGGAGGCAATGGCAAACCACTTCTGAAAAACCTTGCTAAGAAAACTGCTAGGACTTGTCCTCTCTAATTCAATGGCAGTCTCCGATTGAATAGAAGAAAAAAATATTCTGTCAAGGTTATTTTCCCAATTCTCTACACCAAAAGCCTGGACAATCTTGAGATTTATTCATATAACACCTCTGCCCCAAGAGTTGGACTCTGCCAATTAGTTTCTGTATACAATTTAAAATACTGGTGATCACTTTGTAAAATCTGTATGGTTCAGGGCATGTCAGCCCTTCAAGGTAGTCCAGAATAGGAAACCAAAACCAAGAATACCACTGTATCTTTATTGTAAGGTTAAAATAATAGAATCTTGCAAGTCTGAAAGCACCACCTCCTGTGGTTTTATTTACCAGAAAACTAGAGAGGATTTCTTCTGAGATTTTTTTTTCCATCCCCTTCCCTGCTTTGGAATCAGACCATTGTCTAGGCCAGGGGTAGGCAACGTTGGCTCTTTTATGACTCGTGCTGGCTCAGGAATTCTGGGAGTTGAAGTCCACGAGTCATAAAAGAGCCAAGGTTGCCTA